CATTGTAACATGTGTTTAGTCTTTTGCTGACTGTGTCATTGAAGATCTGCATTTCAGATCTCTCTAACTATACAGGCATTACGGCAATAGCCTAAGAATTACATATAGAGAATACTTAACATATTACTTTATACCAAGTATGAATGTGTGTCATAACAATGACCTTACAGTAGGAAGTTATGATAGTTCATGACAAGGATACTTGAACACAAGTGCAGGATAAAAAGCACAACTTTATAACAGACGTTATAATAGCTGACAACAAGATCTCTAAATCAAGTGCAACATTATAACTGGAGTTATAATAGTTGGCGACAAGGAACTTGAAAACAAGTGCAGGATAAAATTGCAGCATTATAACTAGAGTTATAATTGTTGACCAAGAGGAACTTGAACTTAAGTATGGTATAACAAGCACCACATTATAACTGGAGTTATAATAGTGGGCAACCAGGAGTTTCAAGAATTTCAACCATGTTGGTTCAAAAATTTTTCTTGCAGATATGGAAAAAATTTTGGCTTCAATAGTTGAAGTCCAACAACAACAGAAGCAACAACAACAAAATACCCAACAGTTGCTACAGTTGCAAAAACAACAACAAGAGTTGTTGGAAGTGGTTTTGAAGAAAAAATACTTCAACGTCTCTTACACCAGACATGATGCAAAACATTGTATCAGAATTTGCATGCAATCCTGATGACAGACTGACTTTTGCTGTATATTTTTACAGACATGAAGAAATATTTAGTCAGTCAGGAATGCAGTGGCTGAGAAGAAGATAAAAAAACCATGTTGTTGTTAAGAAGAATAGTGCAAATAGAGTATGTCAAGTACCGCAATATTTTACAGGGAAAATTAGGGAAATAATCATCATAATAATAATAATAATCTTTATCCTTTTTTTTTGTTAAATCCATGCACCTCCAATGAGCATGGAACAAAACATTGTCACTTAAATATTTTTTCATCAGAATGAAAAAAAGTGTCTTCAACTTTAGACATTCTGATGAAAATATTTAGTGACAATGCCTCTGTTCATGAATTTTACATAAATTCAACAAAAAAAGGATAATTTTGTCAAATATACAGGTACCATCAACAGATAATGTGAATAATTTAAACTAAAGGAAATGGCTCTGGATATGATCAAGGGATTAGTTTTCATGCAATATCTAACAGCAAAAAGATGCTGAAGTATGAACAAAAATTTTAGCAAAGATTGAACATAATAATAGCATAACACTACAGAAAATAGTGGAAGATTGCCAAACAAATGCTAAGTTGGAAGCATGATGCTGAAAAACTTTAGAATAAAGGATGTGCATTGGTAAAAGCTAAGGAAAAATGCACAAAAAGGAATATAAAACTTTGTTTCAGATGTGGAAAATTACATTTTAGGAAAGACTGTCCATGGAAAAATGCAGAGTGCTAAAAAAGAACATATCAAAATGTGTTAAAAAAGAACATATCAAATCACACTGCAGAACTAAGCCAATAAAAAATCTTTGCAGAAAGAAATTAATACACAATATTGTGATGGAAAAAATTGGTACAAAAAACAAAAGAAAATTTGTTAATGTGCAAATCAATTATGTGGGAGTAAAAATGTTACTAGATACTGGTGGTGATATTTCCATAGTAAATGAAACCACATGGAAAGAAATTGGAAAACCTTTATTAAAATAACTTGCAAAGTCGCAACTTCAGTTTCTGGCAAGAAATTATTTTTTGGGTGAGACTTAACATGTGATGTTTATTTTCCAAATAAGCAGGCAAAAACAAAAGCTTATGTTCTAAGAAATGCGACGAATCTATTCAGTACAGACCGGATGGAACTAGTTGAACTGGGGAATTTTCCGATAAATGCTTATTGTAAAAATGTAAGTGGACAAGTGATAAGTTTAAAAATTCAAAGTGAAAAACTGAAGGAAGAATTAAAAAAATGTTTTCCTGATGTTCTGTCTAAAGAACTGGGTCAGTTTTCAAACTTCAAGGCAAATCTTCAAGTCAAAAAAGGTTTGATGCCAGTATTTGAACCAAAACTGAATGTACCATTCACAGCATTAGAGCAAGTAAATGAAGAGTTGGACAGACTAGAAAGAATTGGGGTATTGCAGAAAATAAACCATTCAAAATGGGCTGCACCAATGGTGTACATAAAGAAAAAGAATGACAAAATTCATGTTTGCACAGATTTCTCGACTGGATTAAATAGTTTGTGCAGATTAAAAACTGAATTTAACACAATTACCCATTACCAAGTCCAGAAGAAATTTTTTCAAAGTTGAATGGAGGAGAAATATTTTCAAAGCTGGATCACTCTGAAGCATATTTACAAATTCAAACTGAAAATCAATGTTCTGAATTAACGGTAATTAGGTTAATGCCTAAAAATGCAGAACCATTGGAAGACATGGTCATAGCAGTGCTAAAAAGGCAAAATGGAAATTACAAACATTCTGTGCAATGTAGTACGGAAATTACCAGTTACACTGGATGAAATTAAACAAAAAGCAGAAAAGGATGTCTTTATTGCTAAAATAAAGAAGCAATTAAAAGAAACTAAAAAAGAACAGGGTCAAGAATTGAATGCGTACTTGATATGTGATGGTGTTGCAATGTAGGGAGAAAGAATTGTAATACCAAGTATGTTACAGAAATGTATATTAAAGGATTTTCTTTCTGGACATCCTGGCATTTCAAGAATGAAATCTCTCATGAGAAGTTTTGTATATTGGACTGGAATGTACCAAGATATCAAAAAACAGTAAAAGCATGTAGAGGATGTGATCTAGCAGCAAAAACTATGTATCATAAAGATAGAACCTTGGCCAAAGACAGACACTCCATGGTCAAAATTGCATATAGATTTTGAAGGTCCTATGTATGGAGCATATTATCTAGTGGTAGCTAATAGTTTTATGAAATGGTAGGAAATTTACAAATGCAAAAATCCTACATCCTCAGTGACAGTGAATTTCTTGCATAAACTGTTTGCAAGATATGGTGTACCAGATACTATAGTATTGGATAATGGAATACGATTCACTGGAAAAGAATTTCAAGACTTTTGTAAGCTTTTCTCTATAGAACTTATTATGACCCTACTGTATCACCCAAGGTCTAATGGACAAGTGGTTTGTGGGAATGTTCAAAAGATCATTGAAAAATGCAAATCTGAACAAATTAAATGAGGAAGCACTTCAGAATTATTTCAGAGTGTACCGGTTAACACCTAATCCCAATACACCATCAGGCATGTTACCAGCAGAATTAATGTTTGCCAGAAGGGTAAAATCGGTTCTCGACAAGTTATTGCCAAGTTGAAAATCACAAATGGTTAATAAAAGCAACACCAATACTTTCAATGTTGGCGATAAAGTATTCTTCAGAGCATACAATGATGGAAAGGAAACATGGGAAGACAGCATAATAGCAGCTAGAATAGGAAAATTGGTGAAAGGGAAAAAATTCCAACATAAAAGCACCAAAATCAGCTGAAGAAAAGATTAACTGATGAAAGACCTGGAGAACAAGTTAAGATGCTGTACAACATTTTTGATGTGCAAGTACCAAAATAAATCATGGAACCAACAAGGACAAGCTCAAGAGAAAGAAAATGGATCTTAGATGGAAATGTTACAAAGTACATTGGTGAACTCTCCAGAAAATAAAAATAAAAAATATATTTATTTAATAAAATAGTAATCTCAAAAGTGGGGATGTTGTGGAATAAAAAGTACAATGCTGGTGACTCTATACACTCGTCCAATGCTATAAAGAGTCCCATGGTATGAGGTTAAGAGTAGTCATTTTGAAGTCAGGTGGTTTGCTGCCAAGCTTATGACAGACTTGTACTCTCTGCTTTTTGGCAGAGAGGAACCTAGATGAGGCTATGCCTACAGGCAGATTGGGCACCTTGAGGTGGTGTAATGGTTAGCAAGCTTGTCTCACTAGAACAGTTATGACTGAATGCCCATTACTTTTGGCCCTTTTTCTGTCACATCAAACTATTATTTTTTTCACTATGCCTCAGGTTGTTTGTCTGAGAAGGAACCAACAAACCCAACCCTGTGTACACAGGATCTAAGGGGTGTTTTGCACAAGCCTATGGGCTTGGAATTGCCCCATATAAAAACCGGCTTTGTGCCACATCACTCCTTGTGGGGGGGATTGGGTAAATACCAACCATATTGGTGAAATGATTAAAAAAAAAGACACCAGAAAATTTAAACTTGCTCCAGGGAGCATGCTCATGGCTTCATTGTCATTTAGTGCTTCAATAAAAGGACAGTGTTCTGTCAACTTAAATCTATTAGGCAAGTGTTATCTGAGTGTTCAAATTTCTACCTTCTTCAATCTTTGTTGTGACATTATTCTTGGCTAAGACTTCATGAATACACATTTCATTTGACAGCCATAAGAAAAAGACAAGCTAAAGGTTACAAATATATATCTAACAGAGTACTAAGGGAGATAATAGTTGCACAAAGAATTCAAATTAAGTGAAGGCTTACAGCTACATCATGCTGAAACACAACTTCCCATATGATCACCGGTTAAGCAACATTGAGCCTGGCTTGGCCTTTTTTTATATTGCATTAGCTCTGTTAAAAACTTTGTTTATTAAAGCCCTTGTTAAAGTATTTTATGGCCCTGTTGTTCTTATAACATTATGTATAGAAAATTAATATGTGTGTGTTAGTAGTGTGTAGAATAGTATCTGAACAAAATTGGATTGATTGATTTGTTTCTTACGGTTTCTCAACTTTTTGCAAGTTATTTAAAGCCAGAAAATATTTTTAGATTGTAAGAGTTCTTTGGAGATAATAATGATTTATTGATACAAGTTTTACTAATTAACCCATAGCTGGGGTGAGAATAGGTGGACTTATACATTTCCAAAGGGTATCTGCATGGAAGTGAATATAACAAACCTAAAATTGAAACTTGGCTCCTCGATTTCCAATTCCAGCCCATCATTCTTTGGACATCTAAGCTTACAGCACCTGGTATTCCTAAGCAGCTACCCATCTAGGTATTGACCAGGCTTGACATTGCTTAACTTTCGTGATCATATGAGAACCAATGTTTCAATGTGATATGGCCATAAGCTTGAACCAAATTGCAGAAATGAGACCTAGTGGAAAACCTTTTTTTTATTGACAATTCATTTACATTGGTGTCTTCAAGTCAGAATTTACTATATACAATATAGTATTTAAAGTTACTAAACACAATTTAAAAATCCATCCAGTTAAACAGAAACAGTGAGTTATATATGCAGTCTGTTTTGCAATACATATACAAAGTCATTTTATATATTCAGATTATAACTACTAGCCTTCTTCAATGTGCCTTCTCCCATCAGTATATTAGCAATCATGGCTCTCCACAATTTCCCGTTTTTGTAGCTTTTAGTAAACTTTGTCTTTTGCTATTTCTCCAAAACCCTGTTCTGACATCCATTTACTTAAGATCGTTAGGTAGGTTATGTGCTATTTTCCTATGTGCACGTGCACAGGAACTTATTATAAACCAATGATGAAGTAATTGCTGTGAAAACCATTTTGCCTGATCAGAGGGCACACCAGTTTTAATCAGCCTGTTTTATAAATGGCATTTTCTGTTTGCTTTTGTGTGCAGTGTGACTAGCACTAAAATCTCTGGAGCTCTGTCAAAAGAGAAAGGCATATAGGAAAGATATCAAACAACTTGTGGCAATTCATTTTTTTAGATGACCATCTGCTTATAATTAGAATTAGTGTACTAGATTGGGATGATCTAAAAATACAGACTTTTATAAATAAATAAAATTACTTAAGGCATTATTTTTTGCATGAAGGTGTTAAATTTATCTATCAGAAAGTTACTGTCAAAAGCAAAGAAAAAGAAAGCAAAAGACAGTAATTTCTGAGGTATCATACACACAGATATTTTGGGATTTCAAAATTCCGGGAGCTATTTACTCAGCTGTAAGTGTTCTGAAAGCAAAGGAAGTATTTGTCACAGATTACTTCCACAATGCAGAGAACAAATTACTGTAAGTTCTGACTCGAATATCGGGGGCAGAAAGAAATGCCAAAAACTCGATTCACAGGTACTATCTCACAAATCACAATGCATGAAACCAGTCAGAAAAATAACTCACTCTCTGACGAACACAGTAGCCAAAATACACAAATTTTATCCCCAATTCAAGAACACCAACTGCTTTTATTGGCCGAGCATTTTTTTCCATTCATTGACAGCTGAGAGAGGATGCCCAATTTTTGCATATCAAAATACTTTTATAGCGACTCCTGCAACAGACTTGTTTTTTAATTTAAATATTCTGTCTTCAGCATGTCATGTGGAATACATGCCCTTTTTTTTTTGGTAAGTAATTTTCTTTTTCGACACATTTTCTGTTGTAGGATACATGCGATGTGCTGTCACTTGGTTTGATGAGGTAAGTCGCCATTTTCTTCGCTATATAAGCAAAGCTTGATTTTGGCAGAAGTTCACAAGTATGGGGCATCCAGTGAGGATCAAATTCACTGGTTAGGATCTGGGAAACTACCTGGCTTTTACCCTTTGACCATGACAAGAGGTTTTATAATTCTAGTTTCGGCAAACTTGGACTTTCATGCCTGCAAAAATTTATTTCTTGTTTATATACAAGAATAATTTTATATTTACAACATTCTAAAAACTAATACAACCAATGCAATGCAATATTTATTATTTACCAATGAATAAAGATATAAATATGAAAACAATTTTTTATTCATAAATGTGTACAAAATTATCAAAATATGTGAACTAACTATAAGGAAATCCTTATTTACCATTTTATAAAGTTTGAATCAATCTGCAATTAGCCAGTGTTTTGCCAACCATTCCAATAAATAATATAATAAATAGAGTTTATTATTTTTGTTGTCAATTCTCAAGAACAAAGAAAATTTATAAATTCCCTTTCATGTGTTTAGGTTTTATTACAATTCTAATCATCGATTTTTAAAACACTAAATATTGCTAAGGAGTGAAGGTAGTTAAAATAATAGTGGTGTCAAGGGAAAAACTGTCCTTTTAACACACCATTTTTTGTATGCATGAAAATCCAAGCTTGCCTTAGTTTCTTCTTTTATGTACTGTGTCCTTACTTTACTATCTTTATAACTTCCTATCTTTTGTTGCTCTAAGTAACTTTTGGCCCTTACCATCCCTTTTGGTCCTTTTTTCATCCATTAACATAAGTTTTTTTTATGGAGTTTTCTGATTCCCCTGCTTCTCTTGTCTTCAATGTGCCTTGTGAGTGTTAGATTCTCTATGCTCTCTTTCCTTATGTGTCCCACATTCATTAAGTGGGTTACCTGTTATCTCCCCTGCTTCTCTTGTCTTCTATATAACTTGTGAGTGTTAGATTCTCCATGCACTCTTTCCTTATGTGTCCCTCACTTTTTAAGTGGGTTACCCATTATCTCCCCTGCTTCTGTTGTCTTCAGTATGTCTTGTGAGTGTTAGATTCTCCACACACTCTTTCCTTATTATGTGTCCCACACTTTTTAAGTGGGTTACCTGTTATTTCCCCTGCTTTCTAGTCTTCAATATGCCTTGTGAGTGTTAGATTCTCCACACTCTCTCCTAGTACACATAAATGTAAAAACACAAAAATAGACAAAATAAGTACATTCTTTCATACAATCATTCACTCAAATGTTCTTTTATAATAATTTTTTAAAGTTTTATATAAAGGTATACCATACATATTATCTCTCAAATACTCACCTACACAAATGTGCAAACTTAAATACTTAAAATACTCATGTTATCTTTTTTAAATACTCTGTTTCACACAAACATATGAATCCTGTTGTACACTCGCACTGACATATTTTCTTGTAATTTTAGTCCAATTCTTGCTTTTTTTCTAAAACTTCAGTAGAAGAAATAATGTAGTTTTGGGTATATTAGATTGTTACATAAATTCGTTCATCTTACATAATTTATTTTAAGACTTATTATTGATTAATAGTTCTGATGAATACTTTAACAATATATTCCTCTTTCCAACCTCCTGCCAACAATCCACAAACTGTTCAATATCTCAACGATAGAAATCACTAGGTTTTGACTTGAAAAATTCATCAAGACATGTTTTAAGCTCCACCTTTTTATTGAATGAAACATCCCTCAAATTGTTAGAAAGTGACTCAAAAAGGTTGGAGTCTGAAGGGGCTAAATCTGGAGAATATGGTGGGTATGGCAGAACTTCCCACCCGAGCTCTTTAGTTGTATGCTTCTTGTTCTGCTATCCATTTAAACAAGTTTTTAGGTAGGTTAATTGATGTTTCCCTCTGCTCCTCTTGCCTTCAGTATGTCTCATGTGTTACAAATTTTCCTAGCCTTCTTTCCACTTTATGCATTTCAGAAATTCCCACTGTATATTCCTCATTGTAAGTGCAAGCATATTTTTTATTCCCATTTTTTTTGAAAACCTAGCTGGAGAGGTTACATAACTTTCTTTTTCTTTTATATACTGTGTCTCTTCAGGATGTGGGTGATCATAGCTCTCCATAACTTCCTATCCTTTGTAGTTCTAAGCAATGTTTGTCCCTTATCATTCTCAATCTCTCCTGTCATCCATTTACACAAGCCTGTTAGTTGATGTTTCATTCTGCCCCTCTTGCCTTCTATATGTCCTGTGAGTGTTAAACTTTCCGAGATATTTCCACTGTTTCTTTCTGTTTCTAAGCATAAGTCACCATTTTATTTCCATTTTGCTTAAGACTTCCTAGTTGCTTACATGTTCCATCCATGATATTCTCAACATCTTTCTACAGAACCACATCTCAGTTACCTCAAGTCTCTTCTTTATCTGAGAGAAAATTGCCCAGCACTCACTGTGGTGTAGAAGGATTTATATTATGTCATGGTTCTCTTTTAATTATTTATAATGAAATTTTCTTTTTTCTTAATATTTTAGTTAGCTTTTGAAAGGCATCTTTTGCAATATCAATGTGCCTTAGATTTTTGTGTTACATTTTCTATCATCTGCTTAAACACTGCCAAGTAGTTAAGTTTCTGTACTTGCTTGATTTTGATGTCTCCAGTTCAGAGGTCACATTTTAGGCTTTCCATCTAGTTTATGTCTATATGTTCCATCTTATTACAATTGATGTTTAGTACTTTTTTTCACTTTCCATTACTACTTTGTCTAGGAATTTCTGCAGTTTTTTCCTGTATCTATCATCAACATGGTGTCATCTAAGAATGTTAAAAAATTGTTTAAACAAATATTTTAGAGGATGCTTATCAAATAATTTTTGTTTCATTTACTTTGTATTCAATTTTTATATCCTTTAAACTATATATAGATTTGTTTTTATAATTGACATGAATTTTAAAATGAATGAAATAGGTATAATAATATGTTAATTTGTATCACAATCAAATCACTTAGGAACACTTCAAATATCTACTAGTTTTATTAAATAACAAGTTTACACATTTTTGGGTGATTATTTTGTTGGATGTTAGTTTTGTTTATTTGCCATAAGTTCTCAATGGGTTGAAATCTGGCAATTAAACTGTACATGGTGGCACATCAGTGTTATTTTCCCAATGTAGGCTTGATTTTGGTTTGTAATCATGCTGAAAACTTAACACTTAACCTATATGATTTAGAATATATAGTAGCATAACCTTATCCAATATTTCTAAATAAGAATTATTAGTTGTCTTGAATTAAGGGAGTTATGGATAGTAAGTCATTTAGAAATATTGGTTATGCTACGATATATACTAAAAACTAAATCATATGGATTAAGTGATGAGTTTTCAGCATGATTATCAGACTTTCAAAAATAATGAGATTATTTACATTATTAACATTGTTCAAACTGTTGTCCTCATCTTTATTGCCATATTCACAATGCTTTAGTCTTCTTCTATTGAATGAATTTCAAACTGAATTTTATTTTATAAAAGGAGAAAATTTTTCTAGTTGCATTTGCTATGCTTCTTCTCAATTCATTTTTTTAATCTCAAATTTTTTTTCTACTACACAATAGCCAATATATTTAACTCACAATATTTGGTTTAATATACTGCATTTAACCAGTGGCT